TCAAGTGAGAGCGTTTCGTGCAAACGATACGGCGCTCGTCCCGTCCAGAGAGATTACTTCCTACTAATGTATGCATTGGTGAAATGTAAACCACTGATAAGAGACTGTTAACCCATTGTGAATTTTCTGCGTGGGAGGCGCACGCGTTTTCGTATAAAATGTATCAACAACACTAACAATAATATTATTAATAATAATATTAGTATTAATAATTACATCGTACAAATAATATTGGATAAACATATTGTATTGAATGAATTGTAGTTTTGTCTCCACAAATTTAGCCTCCAAGTTATAATAATGGTGATCGTATAAACAATTGACCGATGTAAGCCTGGTACTTGGTTTTCTTAGCATTAAGTATTGAGTCCAAGAAGCTGAGTATTTAGTTTGCTCAGTATCAGTATTTAGTAGAAGGGATACAATAACGTGACCAAAAAACATTTAGGAATCTTGGCAATAGAAAAAATGTATCATGTATGATTTGAGAAAACACAAGACAATGACACAATTTGCTAAAACTACATTTTTTGGGAATAACAAATCTTCACCTATAATTAGAGTTAACATAAATTTTTAGAGCCTAATTTCAATACCGCACTAAATGGGGGTAATTAATTTAAAACAAAGAAACTTATTTAAAATAATTTTCCCTTAGTTTTATAAGTTACCCCAATAAAGAGGCGAGTTACTTTGTTTCCCTTTTTCTCATTCCATATTCGACCTCGTTTCTCTCCGGGCTCCTAGTCAATACTCGTTCCACTTTTCCCTTCTGCGTCATCTGGTGTTTTCTTGGGAGAGCACTTGGCAAGATCACGTTTCAGTCTACTGGTTACGTTAGAAAAATGTTCAAATGTTCTCCGTGCTTCTTTTTCCTTTACTTATTTATGTACAAAGTAACAACTATAATTGACATTTGGAAGTGTTGAGAAGAGCTATTTTCTGTGCCCAGAAGCAAAACGAGCCACGTATCTCGCATTTTGCTTTACGGATCGCCAAGAAACTACAATGATACGGTATGACCCAAAATTTTCTGTCATTTTACTTTAAAAAGAGAAAATGCACGAAAGATAATTTATATTATATGCGTTCATCGCAGTCATTTATTATTCCATATTCATTAGCCAGTGGCGCTTGATTGAAGCTAGGAAATATTCCGTAAAATCGTATTTTATTCGCAAACACAAGTAGAAACAAAACAACTTGTACCACACTGAGTAAAATAAATTTACGTGACTAAGCCAAATAAAACAGTTCAGCCTAAGTATTTAGTTAACATACATTTATTCTTTGATGTTTTCTGGCACGTCAACTGCTATGGTCATTAGTGTAATGAATGTTTTATTCCCGTTAGTCTAATAAATGTTTTATTCCGGGAAGTGGAGGTGTTCCTTCTCCGCTAGATGGTGAGATCCGGCGTTGATCTACACGCCTATTCTTAGGGTTTTCTCCTCCAGGTATTTCCCACCTGCGGGGCACCGCCCCAGTCGGGACAAGATATAAGCTGCCGATATATGTGGTAGTGTAGTGCACGTACATTTGTAAGGGAAGAGGCTACGACAAAGAAGAAGGAAAAATCGCGCATGGTCCGTGGCCCCTTTGTCAGAGTACTGCTCCGGCATTCGCCTACTATTGACTGCGCGAACCACGGAAAACTGCCGCAGCAGATACTTCAGAGCAGCTGGCCGCTAAAATTCTCCTCCAGACAGCGTTTGCATTCGACATACCAAATATCCGCCACCGTCGGGACTCGAACCCAAGGACTTCCTGATCAGTGTCGCTGCAGAGATAATGCTTCTCGCACGTACAAGAAATTGGACGGTTACTGGTTCGCTTTCGGTAAAGTGCGGGAAATTTACTTCATGTTTTCAGCACCTACGCGATTCGAATAGGATGACAGTGATCAGTGGTTTCCCTGATTCTGTTTTCCCTGGTTACTAGCAGGAGATTAGCAGTGTCTAGCACTCTCCAAAAATGTGCATTTTTTGTTTATTGTGGTATTCAAAAGTGAGTGGGGTTACCAGATTTTTTTACCCAAAAGAGTTAATGAAGGCGTGAGTGTAATAGTGTCAATATATCCCTTTTTACAAATTTACCTACTTATCGAATTTTTCGTATTTTTATCAATGTCATACACATATTGATTTAAGTATATTTTGCTATTATATGTTTGCATAAATAATTAGCAGGGTTTCGGGAATAAACAAAACTGCTGCTGCCTCCCAGTATATAATCAAATTAAATAGATTAAATAAATAAATAAATAAATAAATAAATA